TAGAGCACTAATCAGACAAAAGGATACATTTGAGACATGCCTAAGTAAATAGATGCAACTTAAGAACATACTCTTAAATGAAGTAAATGAAATACACACTTGTAAGTATCACATTATCTGTCTGATGTGAGAAACTGAAAGAGAAAATAAGGACAAAAAATAATAAAAATTGTGAAATAGAAAGAAATTGTTCAAACTTACACAGGATGTGAAATAATTCTTCAATATTTAAAATGTTTTAAGCTAAAAAAATATAGTATTATCAGGAAATGAGATGAGAGATTAGTAAATGAAAATATTATTTTAAGATCATGATGCAATGTATTTACCATGCTTATTTTCTAATAATTTTTGTTATGAAAAATTATTTTTTCATAGAATGGTTTTTGTATATTCTTTATACTTGTAATACAATAAAATAATTTTAATAATAAAATAGTATTACTGTCCATGGAAAATAATTACCTTTTTTTACCAAGGCCTTTATAAGCTGGCCATTGCCGTCCTCTCCTCTTATACTTTATGCTATTACCAAGTCCTAGTCCTTGGTATGTTGACTGTGAATTGCTTTATCCAGGATGGAGTCCTTGAACTGAAATAGAAGAATGATGTATCAGTAAATGTTTAAGACACCATTCTTTTAGAAGAATGGAAAACATGAAGACAGGGACTTATTTATACTGATTGCTAATTTCCAAACTGTAAAGACTTAGCACTGAGACCAATTTCAAGCTAAAAACATGACCTCATAGAACTGAGTTGAGAAGCAATACACACATATACTCTCACAAGGCAGCTCTGTCATTGAGCTTACCTCTGTCATAACAAATGGAAACTACTATCTGTAAATGCCACTCTGGCCAGACAGGACCCTCTGACATTGATTTCATATTATGTCTAAAATTTTTATATGCATTAAATGATTTATTGAATTTACAGATTCCAGATGGTTTTAACTTTTTCTCACGGCTTATTCTCTCACTTCTGCTCCTTCACAGGCTGCCTAATGCAGAAATCTAGCATATATTCTGGCCATATCTTGCTGACAGTGGCAGTCAGAAAATGTAGGATATGCAACAACTTCACATTCTGGCAATGATTTGTATCAAAATTAGAGATAGTTTTATTAAATAATAAATTTGCCTTGCTTATAAAAGAGTAAACCAAGTTAAAATGAACAATTATTCTTGCATTGCACACATTATTCATAATTATTATTTTAGTCTGATGTTATTTTCTAATGTCAAGAAAATATACTCTGGGTGTATTCATGGATTGCTATTCTGTTGCATTAGCATATGTTTCTATCTTTATGACAGTAGCATACATTAAAATTGCTTAATGTAGCCATGTGTAGTAGCACATGCCTGTAATTCCAGCTTTTGGGAGGCAGAGGCAGAAAGGTCACTGAGAGTTTGTGTTTGGGGCCACCCTGGGCTACATAGTGAATTCAAGGCCAAACTGTGCTACATAGAGAGACCCTGCATCAAAACAAAACAAAATGAATAAATTGTTTAATATATGTTGAGTATGGGATGTTTGAAGCTCTAGCTTTGTTCTTATTTTTCAATTTCTCTTTGGCTTGTTTCAGTTTTTTGTCAATCCACAAGAGTTTTAATATATTTTTTACTTCTCTAAAAAGAAACATTACACAGTGAAATATGCACACCTATGTTTATAGCAGCAGTTTGTAATAGCTAAAAGTTGGAAATAGCCCATTTGCCCATCAGTTGGAAACTGGATAAAGAAGATGTGGTTTTTCTATAAAATGCAATACTAATCAGCCATAAAGAATGAGAAATTAGATTCATTCATAGGAAAATGGATACATATTGAGGATATACACTCCTAAGTGAAATAAATAAGTCACCCATGTATAAGTACAGAATAGTTTCTCTGGTGTGAAAAAATAAAATAGTACATAAGAACCTAATGATATAATTGACAATGTGAAATAGGAAGAAAAGGGCTAAAGATGTAGGGAAAGTGGAAGGGTAGGGGAAAGGTAATAAGGGAAAAGAAAAAATATGAGAAAATGAAAAAATGGAAATAAAGCATTTGTAAAGGGGGAGGGAGGAGGGGTGAAGGGAGGGTAGGGACAAGGGGAAAAAATGAGCACCAAGACCCGTCATGTAAAGGTAAAAGATCCCAATGATGAATGTAACTGTTCTGTATACCTAAAATGTACCAATAAACTCAATAAGAAAAAAAAAACATTAATTCGTAGATCAACTTGGATAAAACAGACCTTTTAACAATATAATTATTTTAATCTATGAAGATAGGATGTATTTCCACTTATTTATGTCTTCAGTTTTATTCATCAATATTTTAAAGCTTTCAGTGTACTTTCATCTTTGTGGATAGATTTATTCAAAGGTGTCACTATTTTTTAACACCACAATAAATAGGATTATTTCTCTACTTAATTTAATCCATATCTGTCAAATAATCTTCAACAATAGTGCCATGCACACATAAAGAGGAAAGGATCATTTTTAAAAATAATATTTAGAAAACCGGATATCCACTTGCAAAACAGTGAAATTAGACCATTAGGTTACACATAAAAAGCAACTCTGAAGAGATTAGTCAGTATAGCTCTTAGTAAAATAAAAAGATGACTGTTGCTAAAAATGTGGAGAAATTGGGACACTTGTATGTTACCGGTGGGAATGTAGAGTACGGTGGCTAGTATGTAAAATAGTGAGATGTTCCTCAAAAACTGAAAAATTGGAGCTATCATATGATCCAGCAATTCTAGATATTTATTTAAAAATGAAGTGAAGATTTCAAAGAGCTGTTGCCACCCTAATGTTCATTGCAAAATTATTATCAATGACTAAGATATCAAATAATATTTATTTGTTTGTTTATTTATTTATTGCTACCAGGGATTGAGCTCAAGCCCTTGTGCTTGTGAGGCAGGCAGTGGAACCACTGAGCCAAATCCCTGGCCCATATAACTGTTTGATGATTCCTTTCTTTATCTTTCTTTCTTTTTTTTTTTTTTCAGTATCAGAAATCAAATTTGTGTCCTTGCACTAGCAAAGGAACCACTGAGCTAAATCCCTGGCCCTCAAAGTAATTTAAATGTTCATCAACCGATGAATGGATAGAAAATATGGTGCATATATGCAATGGGGCATTGCTCAGTCTTTTTAAAAAAATAAATTGTACTACATATAACATGGGCGATCCTACAGGACCTATATTGAGTGAAATAAACCAGTCACATAAGAACAAGAAACACACAATGTAACATCTGTATATTAGATATCTAAAACACTGAAAATAATGGAAACAGAGAGTAATATGATGGCTACAATAAGGGAAATGGATAATTGCAATTCACTAGGTATAAAATTTCAGTTATGCAAGATGAATAAGTTCTAAGGATTTATTCTACAACATAGAACCAATTGTTAACAATAAGGTATTGTTCACTTCAAAATACATTAAGAAGGTAGGTCACATAGTTAGAGTTATTAAACTACAATCACACTCACAAACACACAAATTTTTGAAGGTGATGGATGTGCCCAGTACCTAGACTGTAGAGACTGAATCACAGTTGCATGCATGTGTTCGAACTCATTAAGAAATTCACATTAAATGTTTTTTTAACTTAATTATACTTCAAATAAAGCAAAAATTTAAAATTAAAAATTGACAAAATTGTACCATCTTTGAATGGGTAATCTCTCACAGAAAGATGTTTCGAGAAAAGAAAATCTTGTGCAGGATAATTTCTTCAGTGTAATACTATTTAGAAACAAAAATCCACGGTGTTACGACTTGTATCTAGATGTCTCCTGAAGCCTCATGTGGTTATAGGTGGGGTTTTTCAGAGTTGGCTGGATCTAGAGTGTGTGGTTCGAGGATTAAGTTTGTGGAGACGGGACTGAAGTTATAATGCTAGAATTAAGGATGTCCTACCCTGAGTGTGAATGCTACCCACCCTAAGGGCAGACAGCCTGGATGGAATACGAGGGGCAGAGAAAGGGCTACTACTATCACTTGCTTCTTGCTGCCTCCTCTCTACTCTTCTTTGCTGTGGACTGTTTCTCATTTGCAATGCACCTCTGCCATGATACCCCACATTGGAGCCAGCTGACTATAGACTAAAACCTCTACAATCTATGAGCTACAATAAAGCTTTCATCCTTTAAATTTGGGTGTTAACTATTTTGTCTCAGCAAAAATAAAAGTAACTAAGACACTTGGAATACCCAATAAGTCACATGAAATCTTAGAAAGTTTCTATATACATTGTTTAAATTCTTCAGAATTAATTGTATATAGGCATGCTAAGCTGTGATGCTAATACTGTAACAACATTAGATAGATGACAGAGGAGAAATATACACTGATTATCATCTATCATATCAATTTCCTGAGACACAAAATATAGACAACAATGATCCTCATAAAACTATTTTGAAGCACAAAGAGATACTACCTATTCTGCAGCCAGGGTATTATCTGATGCCATTTATAGCATATCTTTCAAATATTAAGTAGAACTTGTAAAATCTATCAATAAAAAGAAAAAAGTTAATTATTAAAAGGAAGTTTTTATTTTTAATTTCTTCTAGGAAAGTATGAGTGAGACAACATGGACAGATTCTTTTACTTAATAATAAATTTCCTCAAGGAAATTATAACACCTGCAGGGAAAGAGGCACCTGCCAGAGGGAGAGAAAAACTTTATGGAAAGTAATTGCAGGTGGCCTCAGAGTTCCTGCTGATCTGACATATTCTTAAAGCGAGATTTACATAATGAAGGGATACAAAATAGTGTTGCTTCTAATTCAATAGTGCCTTTTGTAATTTTGTTCCAATTCAATTGTGGCACAAGACATATTTAATTATAATAGTGCCAAGATGACTAACAAGAAGCACTAGATTTATAACACACTGTCTCCTTACTTATTAGCAAGGAAGACAACAAAAAGTGACTACTTCATAAATTCAAGTCATATATATATATATATGTCTTCATATATAGTGAAATATGTCAAAAATAATATATCTGTGCATGGAGTGAAATATTCAAAGTATGATGAAAATTTTAGGAAGTCATTTTTAGGATTGAAATATATTTCTGAAATTTAAAAGGACAATGTTTAATTCATTTTGGCATTCATTACCTGAAAGAGGTTTCCGTAAGTTTTTAATGTTCTTTCTCTATGTATATAATATACTGATATATAATTCTTTAAATTTCAAATCCAAACTTCACATATATGGAATTATTCTCTAATTAAAACTCTAAAGCATACAAATGGAATTATCTTTGTCAGCAAATCACTATCTCTATATTTATCTTGTCGTATTTCTTGTGGTTCTTCCTTTACCTTCTAATTATAATTCTAGACCTCATCCTTGCTCATGTTCTCCAGATATTCACTCCCACTCTGCATCTTCCATGTCATTTTTCTCACTTTATTTTCTCTTTCAATTTTTAATTACTTACACTTTCTAATATCTGAACAAATTACCAAATTATGTTTCATTGTATGTGTGGGTTCTCATCCTTCTCTCATTTATTGTAGAATATGACCCTCTATTAGTTAGCTTTCACATCAC